TTAACCTGATAAATATAAGGGTGAATATATTTAAAAAAATATATAGTTCTAGAACAAGATGATTCTAAAATTTTGAAAAAAAAAAATTTGAAAAAAGTCAATAGTTTTTGAAATAATCAGTGTTGTTTGTTAAAAGAATCACCCTGTATATATGCCTGAGTTAAAAAATACTTATAATATTGATATTATAAAACGATTTTAATTTTTCTTCATTAATTATAAAAAAATTATTGTAATTATAGGTACTCGTTAAATGAGAATAAAAAATATATTTTTAGCAAAAATTTTGAATAAAAACATTAAAAAATGCATTAGTTATGAATTTTATATTTACCTAATTATTGAGCTGTAATAGTTAAACTGAAAACTAATAAAAAAAAAATTGAATTTTATTGTATATTAATATGTTAAAGTTGATTAAAAATCAAAATGTATTTCCTAAACATTTAAAAATGTAATATGATTATTATTTTAATAGGTCGTAGATTGTAATTCTTCAAATAAGTTTTCCTTAACCAAATATTCTTGCGTGCATTTATGTCATCTATTGTAACTCCTTGTATTTGAAATACCGTATTAAGCAATAGAGATTTTAATTATTTTTTATTGTATATTCATTGACTAAACATGTTAATTGAAATTTAATCGTAGTTGCTAACTGTAGTATATACCATAGGTATAATGTGTTTGCTTGTTTAAAATACTTTTAATAAAATACTATTAGAATTATTGTTGTTACCTCAAAATTTACCTGCATTTTAAATTATACATTGGTTAAGTGACATTTATAAATTGAGTTCTAAAATTATCCGTTGCATATTAACTATTAACTATTGAATACTTAAATAAATTATAATATTAAGAAATATGAGTAAAATAAGGATCATGATAATCGTACATTTTGATTCTGAGCGGAGCGATGAATGTATTGATTTTAACACGATGTGTGTTTTAATTTTTTAATTAAATTTTTTTTTTGTGTCTGTCATCACGTTTTGAGGCAGTAAAAGTGCTTCGATTTTTGACTTCAGTACCTCGTTCGATCAGAAAGTGTATCTAGTTGGTACTTTGGGGGGGTCAAAAGTAAACAAACTAAAATTTAAGGGAAAAACGGGAAATTTTACGCACAATCAGTTTTCGACAAATTCGATTTTGGTTTTTGATGTAACTTTAAAACAAATGACCATAAATACATGAAATTTTCACCAAATATAAGTATAAATATATTCTATCCACTCAGAATCGTTTTTCGTATACAAATATCCAATGATATAATATTATAATATCATTGGATTCAAATTTAATTCCATCCATTACAGTAACCCTCTTGTAACCTACTGTACAGCTGCAGTGCAACATCCACGACTTAGCCGCTTTTTTATTATTGTTTATTTTATAGTTGCTTCATTGCTTGTGTCATTTTACATTATTTTAAGTTAGGCATTTCAAATATCTATCTTTTTTTTTTGTCCGGTATTTTTGGTTGGATAATTTGACGACCATACTTTCATAKAATTAAATAGAATAAGTACTTGATTTGATAGTAATGAATAATGATACAAACATATAAAATTTTTTATTAATAAATAATGTCCACTATGTTTTAGATGAGCATGACTCCTGCGTAATTACTGATATTTTATACTTTTATTGTAGGTATCAAAAATTTCGTTGGTTTTCTTTCGCATTAAAATATTAAATGCTTTTTAACAATAAATGCGTTAGAAAAGTAGGTATTCATCTATATAGAAATATCAAATATTAAATTAAAACCTTGATTTTTTCAAAAATATTATATAATTTATTAAATAACAACCTATTTAAATATTGTATTGTAATAAGGGTTTAAGAGGTCAAGCGGGCAATTACGTTTTAAGCAACGTGGAGGATTATCCAGGATATTAAGAGAGAATAAATTAGAGAAATGTGGAATTGGTTCACGGGAAAAAAATACCTTCCAGTATACAACTGTTCGAATTGGTTTCTGAATAAAATTGCTTATCAGTTTAACAGTATACAACTCACTGTTACAAGATACTACGTGTACCTATGTATAATCGATAATCTTATAATATTGTATTAGGTTTTACGATGTTTGGGAAAGTATATAAATATAATTTTATATCTAATAGATTGATTAGTTAATTAAATTAAAGTAAAAAAAAAAAATACTGAAAAGGAAAAGTTTATTTGATGAAAATATTAAAAAAATTGAAAGAGGGCCAAATTTCGAACCTACAGTTCGTTAAAAGTGTGTGTTGTAAATTC